AGAGAGAGAGAGAGAGAGAGAGGTGTTCAAACTCACAGTGGAGCAGCATCCAAAAAAACAATTTATCAGTCGGTCTCTGTCTAAAGGCTTGTGATGCTGCCTGCAGGCTACATGTAGAATGCATCAGCGGAGGCAAAGGAGAATAAAATATTTTTCATGTGTCTGCAGTGTGTGTGTGTGTGTGTGTGTGTGTGTGTGTGTGTGTGTGTGTGTGTGTGTGTGTGTTGGTGCCGCATTATACCAGCATATGTACATGCAGGGGGATCCAGCGTCACATCGGTGTAAATGAAAACACTTTGCAGATGTGTGCGCACATGATTTGTATTTTGGCAGCTGCTTGTAATGTGAGAACTTGTTATTCCTTTAAAATCTTCAAAGAGGATCAGCTGGTGCCCTCTGTGCTGTAGTTGTGTGTGTGTGTGTGTGTGTGTGTGTGTGTCTTCAGTTTGGTGAGACGGAGGACATAAATTCTTCCTGTCCCTCCATAATAATAAAAAGTTTTACATCAATTTGGAGCGACACAGGCTAAGTTATGGTGATTGCCACACCTCTCTCCGTGTCCAGCTGATGCTCAGCTCTTTTTTTCCTCGTGTCTTCATTGATCTATCCAAAGCCGTGCGTCACCCGGGGGCATCTTCTCCCTGAGGGATGACTATCACCAATCAATTCTACAGCTTTAGGCCGACAAAACAACGGCACAAAACAAAGTGGGAAAGTGTGCCAAAACAGACGCTATTTTGTCATTCTCTGCCGTTGTAATCGCAGATTCAATTTCCTCTCCCTCTCTCTCTCTCTGTCGTCTCTCGGCCCTCCACTGTCTCATTTCTATTTTTATCGACAGGTGACCTGTAACCGGTTGGAGAGAGGGAGGAGAGGGAGAACAAATGGAAAGGGAGCAGAGGGAAAGAGGATGAGTGAGAGAGAGCAGGACCCCAGAGATTCCTGGTTTACAATGGCAGCCCCTCGCTCCGCCGACTTCTGATTTCAAAAGAATAAAAAGGACTTTGCCTAAAGAGGCCCGACAGGATTGTGACTTCTCTTTGCTGTTTTGCCCTGTAGTGGGAGTCCTCGCTTTGGTCTCAGGAGGAGAAGTCATGACAGAACTCTGAATTCAGAAATAAGTCCTTCTCTCATCCCCTTACCGCCTAAATCCACCTGCTCCTTTTCACCGAGTAACAGCTCTTTGCCATGGAGAAGACGTACTCACTGACTGCCCACTACGACGAGTTCCAGGAAGTAAAATACGGCGGCCGCTACAGCAGCGACATCCTCAGCAACGGTATGACCCTTCACCTGGGAGGCAGCCTGGACCGTCACATGGGGCGAGGTCGAGGTGGGACCTGGTCAAACGGGCGAAATAAGGACATGAGCAACGCCAGCGGCAGCGGAGGACTTCCCCGCTGGAGCCGGAGGGAGATCTGCCTCCTCTCGGCGCTGGTCTTTGCGGCAGGCATGTGCGTCATCTTGGGCAGCATGCTGGCGCTCAAGTACATTTCCCTGGACGCCCAGCAGGACCCGCAGTGCCGACAGGACTGCCAACGCAAACGCTCCCTGCTGCGCACGGCTCGCTTCGTCCAGGCCAATATTGACCCAACCATCCAGCCCTGCCAGGATTTCTACTCCTTCGCCTGTGGCGGTTGGCTGCGGCGCCACGGCATCCCCGAGGACAAGCTCAGCTACGGCATCATCACCGCTATCGGGGAGCACAACGAGGAGAAGCTGCAGCACCTCCTGTTGGAGCCGATACGGAGGCGCGGGGCCAACTCCGCGGAGCGCAAGGTCAAGGAGTTTTACAGATCCTGCGTCAACATCCAGGAAATCGACAAGCTGGGCTCTGACCCCATGACGGAGGTTATTGACAGCTGTGGAGGGTGGGACCTGGCGGGGGCTCCTCCTGGTGCTGCCGGCTGGGAGAGCGAGGGCGCTCCACAGAGGCCGGACTTTAATGAGCTGCTGTACAGGACCCAGGGGGTGTACAGCACCGCCGTCTTCTTCTCCCTCACTGTCAACGTGGACGACAAGAACTCCTCCAGGAACGCCATCAGGGTGAGAATGAGGATGACTGGAAGCTGTGTTTGTTTGTGAATGTGTGATGTGTTGATTTTTTACTCTCATCAAGGTGGAAAATCCTCGGACACGGCAGCAGTCATGGTTAAAGGTGTGTTCAGACTGAACACAAAGGTGATTTTCACCACATGAATGTTTCTGCTGGTGACCTGCTTTCCTAATTCTCCTCCTCCTAGTTCCTGTACGTTAAAGCTCCTCCAGTCTAAAGGTCTCTGTCCATGTGTAGTGTGATTATAGATCAGGTCTAGGTTCTATATTAATACTGTGAAAGTATCAAAGCCTCAGTGCACAGACTAATGCACACAGCCTGTATTCAGAAACTGAGCCTTAAAACCAGCCGTCAGGACTTCCTGTAACTTTATGATGTCACAAAGTTACAGTCACATCCGGACCCACTGTCCAACACTTGCAGGATTTGGTTTTGCTCTGAAATCTGCTTTATTTTTATTTTATCACTCAGAAAACAGTCAGCCAATCAGAAGAGAGGCTCAGAGCCTCCTCTCTTCTGATTGGCTGACTGACCTGTTGTTAGTAGAGCTCCAGAGAGAAGCCTGAGAGAGGAGATGTAAAACTACTTCTTAAAACCACAAATATATCTTCTTAAGGATCAACACTTCAAAATAAAACACAGGGGAAACGTCTTTACCTGTAGTCGTGCTGATTATCTAAACTTCACATTACATTCATTCTGAACACACCTTAATACTAATGACCTTCTTTAATGTGCAACAGCTCAGAAACAGAGTGAGTGAAGTCTCTTGTCAGGGTTTGTGACACTTTCACTCTGTGTGAAACCTGATCTGATGTTTACGCTTTGACAAAAAAGTAAATATTAAATCTGAGCAACATTTGGACAGTATCTGAGATTTGATAAATGATGAAACTTCGGTCCAACACACGTAACGTGGGTCTTATTTATTGAATGTTATGAATAATTTATGTGTTTAGCACATGTGTCACGGCTTGTCAGTGCTGGCATTTTGCATCTGTCGCAAGCTTAAACACCTATATGTCACATACGTGATTACATAGCAGAAAATTACCATATGAGCTTTTGACTCTCTGTGTGTGTGTGTGTGTGTGTGTGTGTGTGTGTGTGTGTAGATTGATCAGGAGGGGCTCACACTCCCTGAGAGAAGCCTCTATCTGGGACAGGATGAGGACAGTGTGAAGGTAAACACGCCCCCTTCAGTCTCTGGCTTCCTGTCTTTACCCATTTCTCCTCCTACAGTCCAGATCATAGGTTTTTTGCACAGTTAGACTTTCTTTTTTTTTTTTTTGCTTCAGCAGATTCAGTTTGAAATAAAATAATAACTCCTAAATTAAAGTACCATGTCTTTCATTTGAGCGGGTTTTACGTCGGTGTAGAAAGAACTGTGTGTGAGATACATCCCTTTAAAAAACTCACAGTGCACAAAGTTTAGGGGTTGAAAACGAGCTGCATAGATTCACATGGAGTCAAACTAGACTTGTTGTGGGGGGTCTGGTCTTCACCAAGAGGATTTCAGCTCAGCCCGACTGAGACAAAATCTCGCCCGTCTTTAGCGCCTGAACTAGAGTTAAAACAACACACACAGCTGCCCGAGAAAAATTTAGCAGCTGAGTGTCTAATTACTTTTGAACCCTTTTTTAATTTGGCACAGTTTGCTTAAATGGCTCTATCTCACACTCACTTCTTGCTAAACTGATGTAAATCTACTCACATTAAAGCTGAGACGTTGCACTTTAATGTTGTATTTCTTATTTAATTTCATATTTAATGTTCTGGGCTGTATTTATCGAACCCTTCCCTCCCCTCCCTCCTTCCCATCACCTCATTTCTTCTCCTCCCACCATCCTCTGCATCATCTTTTCCGTCCTTTACCTCACACTTGACCTCCTTTAGGCTTGTTCTCTCCTTCCTAACCTCCCCTCCTCCTGCCCTCTTTTCCTCTTCTCTTCCCTCCTTCGCTCTTCCCCTCCTCCATCTGTCCTGCTGAATCACATCTCTCTCTCGTCTTCATCAATCCACCTGTTTTCCTCTGTCACCCGCTGTGCTTTTGTTATCCTGTCCACTTTGCCACATGTCACCCCCACCCCCACCCCCCCACCCCCGTCACTGGCCATTACTGATGATGTCGCGGCTCCTCCTGTCTGTTAGCGCTGATCTCACTTATGCTTCTCAGATCCTGGCGGCGTACAAGGCCCTGATGGAGCGCTTGCTGAGCATGCTGGGAGCCCAAAACGCCACGCAGAAGTCCAAGGAGATTATACAGCTGGAGACGCGTCTGGCCAATGTGAGCCGATTGCTCGTGCATGGGAGTGTGTGAGTGTGTGTGTGTGTGTGTGTGTGTGTGTGTGTGTGTGTGTGTGTGTGTGTGTGTGTGTGTGTGTGTGCAGTGTTGAGGTAAGATCTCCTCTCTCTCTCTCTCTCTCTCTCTAGATCACTGTGTCAGAATATGATGACCAAAGAAAGGACATCAGCACCATGTATAACCGCATCACCCTGAGGCAGCTGCAGCGCATCGCTCCCAGTGTGAGTGCTGCACACGCACACACACACACACACACACACACACACACACACAAACATATGCATCATTTATAAATATATGTGTGCACATGAATTTTTGACAGAACCATACACACACACACACACACACACACACGCACACACACACACACACACAGAGGCCGAAGTGACTCACAAAAGCTGTGTGCCCTGCAGGGATGGATGGCGGGAGGGAGGGAGGGAGGGAGGGGGGAGATGGTGGAGACGAGAAGATGGAGGTTCTTCTCTGAAGCAGCGGGAACACCAACAGAGAATCCTCGAGATGTTTCATGGTGGAGGATGAGGAATGGAGCGGAGGGAGGGATGGAAACTGGGAATGTACTGAGAGGAAGATAAGAGTTCGATTTTTAGCTTCTCAGCCAAAAAAAACAACTACACACAGAAAAATAGAGAGAATGTGAACATGAGTGTGAATGAAAGGGATGTGAGAGGCGCTGACGAGGAAAAGCAGAAACGTGGAAAGAAGCAGATTAGATTCAACCAAAGCTGCGAAAAAATTTTTTCTGCCATTTATTTGCTTTTACTTCTGATGTAAATTCATGTAAAACCCTGGAGCTGTGTCACTCAGAATTTGAACTCAATGTAAAAAAAAATCAACGGTTAAAAAGATGCTGGCGTGCAATTAAGCAACAACAACAAAAAAAAAAAACATGGTTTCCAAGAAGGAAAGGCAAAAAAAAAAAAAAAGAAGAAGAAATAAAATGATGGAATTTAACATGAATGATTGAAAACAGTTCAAATCTTTCTGGCTTGTTAACCAGACTGATGTTTCTCCGCCTCCTTAATTAACACTTCCAACTCTCTGACAACCTCACACATACACAAATGTAATGTATCTACATATGTTGAATTTCCATATATATATATATAAAATAAAAACATGTATGTAGCATGTAGAAATTATACAGAAAACCTATTGGAGATTGGAACAATTTCATATATATGATACATGTCCAGCCCATACAAATATGTATGTCTATGTATGTATGCTTTTTTTATAGACATGTTATATAAATATATAACCATCCCAAAGCCTGTCAATATATGTTAATATATTTATTATATAGAGTAGGGTCCAAGAGTGTGAAACCACTCTCCCATAATGGGTAGATAGACATTAAATTATTAAAATTAATGAGAAATTAATAAGAAAAACATATTAAAACATAAAGAATCTTTATATATTTGTTGCTTTAATAAACTTGTATAGATAAAACATATATAGATGAAATATACTGTATATCTTTAACATATATGGTCACAACATACCATATAAAAATGAATCATATTGATATTTCTTACATATATGTACATTTACAAATTTCACATATGTTATAAACTTATATCTTCATATATCCAGAGGATGTATATATATGTGATAACAGGTGACATATACGGCAGCATCACTCAAGATATAGGGACATATATGTTTATAATATTGAATTAATGAATACTGTACATACAAGCATTTATATATATATATATATATATATAAAAATGAAACTCTAAACAATATAAGACTATGATATTAGATTATTTAATGTGTGATGTGACAATAATGAAGGTTTGTGGCTCTTTAATGGTTAATGCTTTCTTCAGCTCAGTGCAACCTGTGCGTCTTTACTGGGAGAGCTGGAGAGAGTTTGACTTGCCCACTTTGCCTGTTTTACAGCCGTCCCATGACTTCATATCCACGGAGGCTCTTAAAATTATGTTACAAAAATTGTTTTTATTCACAATAAAAAAAAACAGCAGCTTGTGGTAAAAGTTACTGAGGTTCAGACCGAGCTTCTATATTAATACTGTGAAAGTATCAGAGCCTCAGTCCACAGAGAAATACACACAGCCTGTATTCAGAAACTGAGCCTTAAAACCAGCCGTCAGGACTTCTGGAACTTTGTGATGTCACAACAAAGCAGGACCCACTCTCAGCCACACCCTAAGCCCCGCCCACCTCGACCCACCATCCAATACTTGCAGGATTTGGTTTCTCTGAGTGTTTTTACCTGAAATCTGCTGTATTTTTATTCAATCACTCAGAAAACAGTCAGCCAATCAGAAGAGAGGGTCAGAGCCTCCTCTCTTCTGATTGGCTCACCGACCTGTTGTTACTAGAGCTCCAGAGAGAAGCCTGAGAGAGGAGATGTAAAACTACACTGAGATGGTTTTTGGTTCTTAAAACAACAAATATATCTTCAAATCTTCAGATCAACACTTCAAATAAAACACAGAAGTGGAAAATATGGAGCTTTACCAAAAAAAATAAAAAAATAAGAGTGGAGTAAATCAGAAAAATGTTTTGTTGTTTTGTGTAAACAGTGTGACTCCTCTTCTCTCCACAGCTTCACTGGAAACGCTTGCTGGACAGAATCTTCCACGACAACTTCTCAGAGGACGAGGAGATCGTGGTGCTCGCTACCGACTACATACAGAAAGTCTCTGACATCATCAAGACCACTTCGAAAAGTGCTAAAAAAAAAAAAAAGAGAGAGAGAGAGAGAGAGAGAGAGAGAGAGAGAGAGAGTACGGTTGTCTCAGTGGGGGGGTTGTGGGTTGTGGGTGTGGAGCGGGGAGAGAGAGATGAGGGCACTGAGGTGCGCAGAAAATCAATGAAATTAGACGCATGCATTTTTGAGTCTGTACTTTTTTGAGTGTGAGTAAGCGCTTTTGTTTGAGGTTGTTTTGTGTGTGTGTGTGTGTGTGTGTGTGTGTGTGTGTGTGTGTGTGTGTGTTGCCTTTGGTTTGGGGCTGTCATTGTAATTTTTGCTACAACAAAGTGTCACGTTGTGTATGGATTTGCTTTTGAGTGTTGCTATGCATGTATTTATTTGCACATTTGTATGTGTGTGTGTGTGTGTGTGTGTGAGGTGAGTCACTGTTGGGTGAACTTCCACTTCTACCGCAGCTGATTATTATTGATCTGCACCCACACCTTTCTACCACCTGCAAACTCAGACAGACGGACACACACACACACACACACACACACACACACACACACACACACACACACACACACACTCCCTCTTCCTGACAGACTCCAGGGGAGGCCTCAGAGGGCCACTGCACGTCAGGATGTGTGTTACAGCCACTGACAGCTCGCCAATAGTCACTGTGCTCTACACAAATACACAACAGCTCTCAGGCCTCACGGATGGCTGACTGACTGGATGACTGGCAGCTGGATTACTTGCTTGTCAGTTATGTCAGAGACTGGATGCATGTCTGTCTGTCTGTCTGTCTGTCTGTCTGTCTGTCTGTCTGTCTGTCTGTCTGTCTGTCTGTCTGTCGGCAGCATTACCCATTCAGACGTTCTGGTGATTTCATGACTCACCAGTTCATGACATTAGGGCAACGTTCAATCTCTGTAATTTTACCATGTTGTGCAGCCACACACACACACACACACACGTGTCACCATGATGTTATTTTTTTGTCATGGATGTAGCTTTAGCTAGCAAAGAAGGAAGATTACATCACCATGCTCTGGTTGGCAACAGCTCCTCCCAACAACAGACACAACACAAGGAATCTGTTTGACTCTCTGAACAAATTGAAAATAGTTCAGAGATTCAAATTGAAAAAACTCAGTGGTCTGAACCCACTTTAACCGCCAGCTGTAATGAAGAAAATCATATTTAAGCTTACACCAAATCATAATATACATTATCTCAAGGCACTTTACAGGGTAAGGTCAAGACTAGGTGTTATAGAGAGAAACCCAGCGGTCACTCGGCGACAGGGGAGGAGGAAATACTCTACTACTTTTAACAGGAAGAAACCTCCAACAGAACCAATCAAACCAAACCAAACCAACCAACCAAAACACCAAAGTTTCCATTCACAGGTTTTACGTTAGCTAAAATGTATCGATGAGACTCAAACATATTGTACACACCAGATCAGAACTAAACACACCTGGAGAAAGCCCCATAAACTAACACGACCAGTCCCCTTATTACTGAGCAACCATCCCATCCACAGCTCCCAGTATCTCCCTGACGAGACTTTGCTCCAGTGTTGAGCATCAAACCAGAAGCTGTTCACACCTGGCGTTAACACGTGTCACTTCTCGTGCTCCGTACGCAAAAAATAAACGCGCATGCATTGTTGTCTGTAGCCAGTCCAAAAGACGGGTCTGCAGTCAATCAGAGTGCATGTGGACGCATTGTGTCCCTGAGTGATCGGATCTCCTCACCTGACCTCAGAGCTGCCCGCCTGTGATCGGATCACCCCCCGAGACGGATGTTAATACCGGGTCCGAACGGGGCCGGAGGAAGATCCAGAAAGATTCAGGAAGTAGAACCAGATGACGAACAGTACGGCGATGCATCGAGACAAGCTTTTCACAGAACAGTGACACGGCCGCACTAAATACAAATACTGCCCACAAAAAGCAGGATTCCAGGGGAAGGACGTTTTTTACCGTCACCACATTTGCTCACTACAAAGAACTGCTCTCAGCTTGTTTTCTCCCTCCAGTCACATTTAACAGGATGTATGGTAAATAAAAGTTATTCCTTACTTCTTATTCGTGCATCTGCCATCCTTACTATTTTATATAAGTAACTTTCATCAGCCACAACAAGAGATAAGATCTTTTTGCAGTGATTTAGCTCAGCTCCCATCAGTGTAAACATATCTTCTATATCAGATTTTCTGCTATCAGTTTTTATGCACTCTGTTTTTTGGTTTTTTTTTGGAAGACAGACTGTTCCTGATCTCTTTTATCTGCTCTCCTGCTGCTCTCCCTTTGTGAAATGTAGTTTTTAATCACAACACTCCAGCGTGCGCACACAGTGAGTCGGGGGTCATATCATTAAGGGATTCATAATCCTCTTTTGTAAAAGTACAGTTACCTTCGCCTCTGTCCCATCCATTAGCCCAGCTTCACTTCTCCTCAGGTTGCAGGTGCCGGGTTTGATGCTCCGTCTCTTCTCCTTGTTGTTTACCAATCTTCTCTTTGAGTTGTCTGTCCATCCATCCTCCCTGATGGCTTCAGTAATAGACTACACCATGCTTCAATCATCCTCCCTCCCCTGTCTTTTGTTCCCTCCACCTGCGTCTATCTGACATCCCGTCTTCTCTCCCCTTTATCACTTGTTGTACTCAGTCAGCTGCAATTTTTGGTTGATATGAGCTTCAGTGTGGAGCTGCACACACTTCACGTTTACTTCGACCTGGCTGTGGCTTCAAATCCTGGTCATGGCTTCAGTGTATGTCTGCAGAAGATGCAGTATTTCTCTTTATCTCAGTACTTACCTGCTTCAGTTCGCCTTCTATCGGTTAAACTGACCAACCGGTGAAAGTGAAAATGACACAAACATTTAAATGTGCAGCCTGGCCGCACCTCAGACTTCACCACCCCTCATGACAAGTGGCAAGAGGTTAATCTTTTAAACTGGACGAGCAGGTTTCGCATTTGTATGGATGCTCGTTCCTGCCGACAAGTAACAACACTAATGATAAATCAAAATAAAAATACTTCAAGTAAATCAAAATTATGATGATGAATTTAAATTTTAAGTTAAGTTTACACTTTTGACAGCTGAAGTCAGTAAATGTTGTTCATCAAATTTATGGCATAAATACAGAAGGTTGGAAAACAAGTTGGAAGATTCACCAGAGAGAGAGAGAGAGAGCAGTTCTTGACTTAATCTGACATTTATTAGTAAAGCTCAAGCTCCAAAATCAGTGCCATACACATAATTGCTGCTCAATATCATTGTTCATCAGACCCTCCCTGTTTGATAAATGACCACAACTTTTTAAACACTGCGCCCTAAGTTTATAACATGAGTCGTCCAAGTCCAAGACTCCGTCCAAGAACACCTGACCCTGGTGACATTATCATGGTTATTGTCTCAGCTTCAGAACTTATTTCTATAAATTTATACACGTGTTTTCACATGCTCAGTAATATTTGTATGACTAGTAAATTCTTCGTTAAGAAACCATTATTTTAAGTTACTATCATAATGGTGACTTTGTGTCTTGAAATTCTTGTAGTTAAAAGTCAAGATTTTAACCATTGTAGAGAAAATTAAATTTTTTTTTGTCTTTTAACCCTTTTTACACCTAAATTAGCAGGTATATGTGGGTTCCTTTTAAAACACAGGTAAATCTGCTGAAAACGGCGATTCACACCTTTTACACCGCCAGCCGAGTTTTCCTTTCTGTTCGGACTGAGGACACACACAACTGCAGGGAGCAACGTCATGACACGCGCGCACACACACACACACACACACACACACACACACACACACACACACACACACACACACACACAGGAGGAGAAAGAGTGAGCTGTTAGTGTTGCTCTTGTCAGTGTCGGAGCCTCGGTGTGAGACGCTTCAATCGGTGATTGTGTGTTTTTAAAACTTATTGCGGGGCTGTGGCTCACTTTTTCATCTTCAAGCGCCATGTAGCCGCGGCGTTTCTGCACCGTGCAGCTGACAGGTGTGTTTACATGTCTGTGTGCTCTGACAGGCGTCACAGCAGGAAGAGGGGAGAAGAGTAGCGGGTGCTGCGTTTTTACATCAATGCCGATCGGAGCCGGAGCCAGTAAATACCTGCGTCTACCGCAGAGTCATTTGACCCCAGTGTGAATACTGATTGTTCCCTTTTCCATGGCCGACAGAAGCCTGATGTTAGCGGGTCTTAGCTCAGTTTTTTCACCAGTGGAAAAGAGGCTTTTTTTTTTCTAGCAGGAATGGTCTTCCTTACATTGATCGACTTCTCCTCCCTCTGACTGTCTCTTACTTTCAGTCAGTGTCTTTCTTCTCTCACCAAACTCTTTTCTCTCCAGTCTTCTGCTCCCCCAGCTCTCTCCATCTGTCTCTCTCTCTCTCCTCTCCTCTCCCTCTCTCCCTGCATCTCTCTCCTTTTCAACTTTGTGTGATCGCTCCCTCATTCACCTGATTCTACCTCGATCTCTCAACATCTCTATGCCCTCCTTTCTCTCCATCTGGCCCCTGTTCCTTTGTTTCCCTATCTTTCTCTCTCTCTGCTTCTATCACTCTCTCTGCCTCCTGTCGTCCTCCCACTCACTTGGTCCTACTCTCTCACCTCCTCCTCTCTGTTGTCATTCTTTCTCTTTTTAGTCTCTCTCTCTCTTTTTCTTTGACTCATTCTCCACCTCCAATCCGTCTCCAGGTTCTGTCTCCCAGCAAGTTCATTATCAGGCTTTAAACAAAGGTTGGCGCGCACACACACACACAAACACACACACACACGCACGCACGCAGTAGTGCACATACAAATGGAGGAATAGAGCTATTCTATTTTCTGAGAGGTGTTGCTCATTAGCATAGCTTATGAGCACTTGGTTGAAAATGCCCCAGTTCCTCACATCAAGGGGTCCTTTTTCACCGCTGCCGGTTATTAGCCAGTCGCACAGCTTGTTGCAAGAAAAACACACATGCACACACATAAATACAGACACCAGGAAACTGAAGTGAGC